AATTCATTATATCACGAACATAATTCATTACATATATTTCACCATTGACTCTATATTCATCCTCATCCAATTCATCAATATCAAAATCGTTATCTCTTGCAAACGATGGTTCAATTGTCACAATTTCTAATTGTTTAATAACGACTGCTATTGCCGCGGAAGGTTCTCTTACAATCACCGCTCTTGGTTTCGGAGGAGGAATTACTCGTTGTGGCTTTAACACTTTTTGTTGTCCTGATGGCTTATTTTCTTGATCGTCAACAGCAATTTCCAATTTTTGGACTGTTTCTGTTAGCGATGAGACAATAACTTGTTTTAACGTATCACTTTCTTTTGTTGAATTATCGAGTGACGAACCAGATAGAATAGCGGCTAGTTTTTTAACAGAGCGACGTTTAAATACAACATTTTTCATCACACCATTTCCAGTTTTTTTCTGTTGTTGTTCTTCAACATTTGACATTGAAACAGGATCATTTTCCCCTTCTTGTTTACTACTGTACATGTTTGTTATTTGTTTCAATGATTTCTGATAAACAAATGGTGCTGAACGAAGAGAGGAACGTATCTTTGATTGACGAAGTAATGATGTTTTTGTTTGACGATTTGATGTTGGACGCATGATGAAACCTGCCTGTGATGTAAGTTTAAGTAAAAACAAAAAACTACTCTGGAAGTACCAAAAACAATATGTATGCACGGAAATAACAATCACGAAATATATAAAATGATACCGAAAACTTTTACTCAAACCTTAGAAGATAAAATCAAACGAGTAAATTTTCACCTAACTAACAAAAGTTATTTCCAAAAACTCAGAGAAACAAAGCGGAAAAGCCCTTAACATCTGTTTTAGTATCTTATGCCTCTTTGTAAAGAATGAGAAACAAAACATGATAACTGTATAAGACATAAAAAAATATGCATCTCGTACAACAATCCTTGTGGCTTCAAGAGAAAGTACAATATTATGGATTAAATATACAAAACGATGGTATAGACAATAGAAGATAAAAACAGCTATAGACAATAAATCAGATAAACAGACTGTTAAAAAATATAAAGGGAAATGAAGAAAACAACCATTTGAGAATAAAACAAAAACACAGAAACTGAGCGGATACAAAGATTATATATATTAACCGGACGAACTCCTTCTGTAGTTAAAATGGAAGAGACACTTTCTGACTTGGCGCGCTGCATAAATAGGCCATGTGTTATTGAAGAAACTCTGATTGCACAATGGTGACTAATCCAGACGACCAATCAAATAAGAGAACATACACTTACTGATTTCTGCATATATCTAGTATAGCTCTAGTTAAACAAATGCATGCAATGGAGCCGATGTCTCATGTCTCCATTCTTGCTATAAGTTCTATCTTTCTAGAAGTCAGTCGATATAAATTCCATTATAGTATTTTTCAACCTAATCATTAACGTAGCAGATTCAGGATTTGTTAGGTAATGCGTAGCAGTGTTTTTTTATAGAAATTTTTCTTATGGTGAATTTTTGCAGTGTGGAATCAGCATCAAAGTAGAGATTCTAAAGTCATGGTAAAACATTACACTGAATTTTAGTTTCTCATAGTGGATGATAGTGGCAAGTTCGTTTGTCCATCAGCTTTTACACAAATGGATCAAGTTGGCGATTTTATCTGCCCACTAAAAGAAGAAGAGAACGACTAAGGAAGAAAGTGACCGAAAGGCAGCGACGACTCTGTCTCCCTTCATAAATATGCCTTTAACCAAAAACTAAACTACTGAAAAACACAAAATTAATTTTGAATGGACATTTGATGTTGATTTTCCTTCTATGAATCTTTCATGACTCACATTTTTCTTCCTTGCCTGCTGCTCCGTTTCGCAATAAGAGAAGATTTCAAGAGAATGTCATAAGACAATTTTTTTATAAAAGATACATTCATATGCACATCTCAACTGAGCTCAATTTACTTTCTTTCATACCTACCTGAGATTCCATTTTTTGAAAGATGTTATACTCCGATAAAAGTTGTAAGAAACTGAATTGAGATATGATGAAATGAATATGACTTGGGGTAAAGAAACCGTACGAATCACCGGCGGATCCAGGGCAGAGGGGTGCGATCACACTCCTCTTCCGAAACCTTTTCATACTATCCCCGATGAACTTTTAAAATTATTTTTGCAGGGTGTGCATCCCCCTCCACATATTCGTGGATCCGCGACTAGTATGAATCCGTAATGAATCAGACAACAAATTACTGAATAACTGCCGCATGTTTCCACAAAATGTTCATTAGCACTAGACGAAAACTACGACAGCAAACACTTTTTCTTTTTACAAACACGTTTATTTATTTCTGTTGTAGACTAAACTACGTAAGAATTAAATCTTATTATTTAAAAAACCAATTATGTTCGGTGGTGCAGCAAATCGACCGAGTAGTCGAAATTTAGTTGAGTTTAAAGCTGGAAAAATGCATTTACGTGGCAATATGGTAAGCGTGGCGCTTTTGCCACAAAAAAACATTCGACTCGTAATTAACGTTCCCATTTTCATTTAGGTTCATCCTGATAAACGTAAAGGTTTGGTTTATTTACATCAGGGAAATGATACGTTGATGCATTTATGTTGGAAAGACCGGGGTAGTTCAAACAGCGCTCCCGAAGACGATCTTGTAATATTTCCGGATGAAATTGAATTTAAAAAGGTGACACAAAATACAACTGGTACGTTTAGTTGCAAAAAGAAAGTTTAATAGCGGGAATTCTTCTGCTATCGAAAATGTCTGATGTATTTTAGGTCGTGTTTACATATTGAAGTGGAAAAATGCTGCACGTAAATTATTTTTTTGGATGCAAGAACCAAAAGAAGATAAGGACGAAGAATTATGTAAAAAAATAAATGATCTTCTCAATCATCCGCCAACACCGGGAATGTCGTTAGATGAATCCGGCTCAGGATCCGGCCATCCATTGCAAGCTGTGATGGAAAGAATGTCAGCAGGAGGTGGCGGCGGCTTGGATCCAAATGATTTATCAAGTGTTTTACGTAGTATGTATCTGGTTCTACTTCTATTCTGTTTGTGTTCTTAAACTGTCTATTTTAGCTATGAACCCAAATCAACTGGCAGAATTAATTAGCTCATTAGGTAATGGAGGTGGTGGAATTATGCCAATGCATTCGCCAAGAGGCCATGGTGCATTGAGCGCAGGAAATACAAATAGTAATCAGCAGCTAACGCCATCGTTATTAGATACATTTACGCAAGATGCATCTTCGAGACCTAATACCGCTGTACGTCTGACACTGACGGCTAGTGCAAGGACTATATACCATTTTCGTTCTTTCATTTAGCCCGCATCTACCACTTCTGTCACACGTACAGCTGGTGCTACTGCAACACCGTCAACTGGAACGGGCACATCCGGATCGTCGAAACCACCAAAAGAGACGCGAAGTGGTGGAAATACAGGAACAACATCAGCAGCAAGTGCATCGAGTAGCTCGACAACAAAGCCCGCCATCCAATTAGCAGCGTTAGAAAGTATACTTAGCCAGTTAGGTGGACAATCAGCAAAACCATCGATTGACTTGTATGATATTATGACTTCAGAAGTAGGTACAATTCTTTTATTTAAGTTATGGTTGAAGTAAATTTGTGAATTTCTTTCCCCGTTTAGAATTTGGTACCAATATTAAGTAATAAAGATATTCAAGAGAAATTGATCCCACATATGCCTGAAGGCGAATTATTACCCAAAACCGAATATGAACTACGTCAATCGATTCAATCACCTCAATTTCGCCAAGCTGTAAGTGCATTTAGTGTTGCATTACAAACCGGCCAGTTGGGTCCTGTTTTATCTCAATTTGGTTTACCACCGGACGTTGTTCAAGCAGCTAACAAAGGCGATATTAGTGCATTTGCAAAAGCCATGGAAAAACATTATAAAAAGGATAAAGACAGTAGTACAAATGACAATACAAACATGGATACGAGTTAGAATTTACAAGAAGTTTTTCACAAAAAAATTAACTCTCTCTTTCGTTAATTAACTTTCCACTCATTTATGTTGTTTTTCTGGTTTCAGCTTTCTTTTATTTGATTAAAAAAGCGTCAGTGTATTTTTCTTTTTATTCAAACTACTTTGTGTCGTTATCTATACACTTATTAATAAAACATGATTTATACGATAATCGGTATTGAAAATGAAGTGAATGTACACTGGTTTTTTGGTCAATCGAAGTAAGTTAATCTCATTCAAGGTATTTCTGAAACTAACAGTAGTGATGATATGTTCCATTTGTTCAAACTAAACGACAGATAATTTTATGTTTGTGTTTTACAAGTGAATTCTATTTTAAAATCAAATATGATTTCACTGTGAAACCGATGTTGAGTTAAACAAACAAATGCAATTAAAATGTGGAACTTTCTGACTTTTTCAAAGTGTTTAGTAAGAACTAAGTATGACACTAACATTAACATGATGTACATACGCTAAAGTACATCATATCACAATATTTCTCTTTAGTGGATACTATTTTTTACAGAAAAACGGATTAGCCGTTCAATCTGAGATACATTTTTTCTCTAAGCGCTACTGGATTCTGATTATTAAAACAACTTTTCTTATAAATACATGAAATAAAGGTCCGTTGAACCTCACATTGTTACAATATCGTAGAACATGTTACGAATTAATACATCATTACTGTAAAACTTAACATTGCATGATAGTTCAAAATCAATCGAACAGATGCCACTAATAAACGCTGAATATACGATATCATCAGTGCTTCAAGATAAAACTCATCATTTTTGAAAATGTAAATGCATATTTTGTACTTTTTTTAAAACGAAAAATTAGTCGTTTTTTTACCCATTTCATTTTGAACTACAAGATCGTCTGTTTCATGAAGCTCATAGTGTTTCAATCGAACTTTTATCGAATCGTCAATCAGAATAAGGTGCGCGTAATACAAACTTGTGGTAAACAATTTTTTCCAGCTTATTATACATCGTTGGATAGAGCTCATCGAGCTGATTACAGAAATGTATTTTACAATTTTTCAAAAAAATTTTCCATGTCAAAAAATCGAAAATCCTTCAAGTTAAAAGACCTTTAATATCTCACCTCTAGATTATTTTGAAGTCTTCAAACAATTTTTTTCGAATTTAGCGTTAAAAACTGAATGTAAAAATGGTGTTAAATCAATTTCGAAGTTAAAAGCTTGTCCAGCATGGACGTCCCAAACCAGCCCTCTAAAGTGCGGGGATTGAAGAAAAACAGATGTTATAAGATAAAAGAAATATGTACTCATTTTATTTTTATTAGCATAACAACAATGTCAAAAAAAAATATAAATGTCTATATACTGATTTTCTCTTTTCAGTTAAATAGACCATAGGCGACGGACCCACTGAGATTCGTGAGATTCGAGTCTCACCTGCTTTCCGCCAACTGAGGCACAGTCTTACCTAATTTTGGACTTGATATTCCGTTACAGAAGATAGTTTTCAGGGCCTTCTATGCATCTGAAGCAGTTTCTCTTTTTGGAGAGACAGAAAATATACACTTCTCTGATAACTGTTGTTAATAACAATCGTATACACACAACAATCATTGATTTTTATTTAGAAAAACTGAAGCTTTCGATTACGATCGGTAATCATCATCAGCTATAGTTTTTAATAAGCGAAAAAGTCGTTCGACGGGTCCGACGAGTGCTCGAAAATAGGCCCTCACCGTGGGCCCATCGAAAGCATATTTTTGAGCATTCGAAGTGGTTGGGATGGTCCGTTTAACTGAAAAGAGAAAATCAGTATATAGACATTTATATTTTTTTTTGACATTGTTGTTATACTAATAGAAATAAAATGAGTAAATATTTCTTTTATCTTATAAAATCTGCTTTTCTCCAATCCAAATTTTGTGTAAGTATGAACAAGTTCAGACAAATATTGAGAGAATCCAGCTGCTGTTATTTGTTTCATATTTGTTTCTTCATAGGTGAATACATACATGTAACTATTGTAGTGTTGAATCTCGGCTTAGCCAGCTAACTCGTAGGTATTTGTATTTTTATTATAGTTTCTGAATGAAAGAACGTGCACACTGCGGGAACATCTCAAAATCTTTAGTATATTTTTCTGTTTAATCTGAGATATTCTAGATCTCTGAGCGTCTCGCCGTTCGAAAATTATAAGAGAAACAAAATGCAAAAAAATCATTATGGAATTTCATTATGGAATCATTATGGAATCATTATGGAATTTTTGTAGCAGATTTAGCTGGCCAAGCCGATCTGTTATATTTTTCTAATTCTAGTCTGTGTTCATCGCGTTTCAACAAGTGAAAGTAGCGTATGTTTCTCGATTATTATTATAGAATTCCATTTGTTTACTGACGCACAAAATGAAATTAATATCGGTTATAGAATGCACACTATGGTAGTACACTCCAAGTAAATTTATTCTTATTACTTCTACGAACCAGACTATTATCGAGATGGCTTTGTAGTTATTTGAAAAATACCTTCGATTCGTCGATTGTAGGTAATAAGAATATCGTTTTTTGACTGTTCTTTTAATTGTTATAACTTGGTCAATTTTCCATACTCAAAATTGCAATTAACAGAAGTGTGAGAGTCTTGTCTGTTGAATGATCAACATCGTTTCTCCTAATCTCATTGTGATGATGTTCATCTATAATTGACTACGCCGATTATTTTTAGTTCATGGAAATAATATGAGTAATAAGAATAGTCTATTTCGTTCGATAGGAACAGTCAGTGAAAATTTACTGGAATTTGTGTCACAAAGATATTTTGTATTTTTTACTCGTATTTTATATTACTATCCATTTCAAAAAAGAAGAAGCACGGCCATTTCTTTGATAACTTTTTCTAAGAAGCAGCTA